ACATCCGCACATGGGCCCGCTCCGGGCAGTGGTGCCGGTGGAGCTGGGGAGCCGCCGGGTCTCAGCCCCGGGCCCATGACTCGACATCCGGGACAACGCGATGCCTCGATTCCCAGGGTGCCTACGAGCGAGGCTCCCCCTCGGCCTGCCATCAAGGAGGACACCAAGCACAAGCCCGCTTTGCAGGTACATGCCAGCTTGGCGGACAAGCTCCAGGGTCGTCGCGAGGCCATGAAGAAGGCGGAGGCTGCTCGGCAAGCCATGATAGCCCGAGAGGCCGAGGAGTGCAGTGGAGAGCAGGCCGAGCTACTTGTTCAAGAAGAGAGGCGCCTGGCCTCCATTCAGCGCATCCACGACGACGATATGAGCGAGGACGACTTGTCGCCGAAGAGTGCCATGGCGGCGAACGCGTCGCTGCTCTCGTGAGAGGTGTGAGTCCTACGGACTGCCGGATCAGTTGGGCTGGACGGCCTCCTGATGCCTCAGGGTCCGGTCGCTCTGGGAGGCTGGGTGCTTGTGAGCCTTTTTGGGGGAAGGCTCCTCGAACCCCGTTCCTCCTCGGGCTAGATAGGACTTCTGAGGTACAGGAGGTGGGTTGGGCTCCAGCTGATCGACTTCCTGTGATGGCCGTAGGCTTTTCTGTACATAATTTATGCCCGGCCTTGTCTAGCTCTCTTGCTTTGAATCCTGAACCCGCCTTGGCTCAGCACGCTGTGCTCTCACACAGCCCGACTGACTGCTTGGGCTTGGCGGTCTTTTTCACGGCCGGGTCGATGCCTTGTCCTTTCGTTCGAGCTTCGGCCCTTGGCCACTACCCGGACTTTCTTGCAACCAGCCCGGCATGCCTTCCTCTGTTTTCCCTTCAGGGTTGTAGTAGCTGCCTTTGCGGTTGCGGGGGAGGTTTCGGTGCATACGGTTTGGCGCCTAAAAGATGTATCGGTGGCTCTGGGACATCTGCCAAGCCGGCTTTCAACAGTGGTGACGCACCTTATAAGCCAGAGCTTTCCCTAGGGATCTTGCCGGCGTGCGTGATCTTGCTCGGGGCGGTGCTATATGCTCTCGGTTGTTTTGTGATTACGTGGACGGAATGGTGCGCCGGCGTGCCGTTGGTTCCTCCCCTTGACTGCGTGCCTTTGCGCCTGGCGGGCTCTTGGGGCCTTTGTGGCCTCTTGAAGCTCTTGGGGCGTTCGCAGGCCCGTGCTGCGGAGGTCTGGGCTTGCGGCTCGCACTGTTGCTTTGCCCAACCACATCCGCGTGTCATTCATCGGCTACGAGACCTGGTGGGCGGTCCCTGGCCGGTGAATATTTGTCATAGACTGTTGCGCAGGCCTAGGACCGTCGCTGTCGCTGCGTTTCGATATTTTGGCCTGTCGCAGGAGCGTGCTTGTGTTTCTGTTCCTTCGTGCGGGCAGAGATGTGATTGGCCTGCGTGTGCGGCATTTGTGGTCGGAGCGGCAATTATGGGCTGTCGTCTCCAATTCTTTCAGGAGCTTGCGGCGTCGCCGGTCTTCCTAGACGCTCTACAGACCCACTGCCTTGCATTTGGGCGCAGTCTTGGTTTTGCGCTGTGTCTTGGCTTGCTTGGCATGTTGCGATTTGGCAGTGCGAGGAGCAGGCAGGTCGTCCCTTCTGGCATTGCCCCGTGCGCGTCGCTTGTCGCTCCCCTCGCGTCCTGCGCCAGACCGGCTGGCATTCTAGTTTGGCGCCGGGGGCGTCCTGGTGCGCGCGGAGGCGCATACAGCCGTTTGATGATTGCCCTAGTTGGCTTCTCTGGTTGCCCACGTTGCGTTTGGGCAATGCCCAGGGATGTTGGGGATGCCTTGACTAGAGTCTGTGCGCTGGACTTTGCCCTTTTAGGGACCAGAACGCCAGATGAGGCTCTTGCGCCGGATGCTTTCCCCAGCGCAGGCAGTTGGCCCATGCCCTTCCGTGTTGGATCGCAGCCCGCTGTCTCTATTCGGTCGGTTCATGCCGCCTGTCTGCCCCTGGGTGCCCAAGTTGCTGACGAGGACCTACGTCTTGAGGGATGGTTGTGGGTCTCGGTTTGGGCGCCCTTTTACCAGCCAGAAACCTGGGCGCTGCAGGTTGATAGTGAGGGAGGGGTCGTAGGACTGTGTCAACAGGTTGACCTCTTCAGCTCAGGCTCGTTCGGAGGGGGTCTACACGGCATTGCTCCTCTCAAGCCTCAGCCAGTTCGGGGTCAGGCTGCTTTCATCCGCTTCCCCACCTGTCTGGATGCCCTTCAGACAGAGCTTGCAGCCGTAGTCCTGGACTTAACTAGGATAGGGGGCAATTTCCATGCTGTTGTCTTCCCTCGCAGAATCACGGGCGATGCCCTGTGGCATTACTCCAGGCCATATGTGTCCGGGGCCATCGATGAAATTGAGCTTTTCTTTGGGGCTGAACAGGTGCAAGTTGCCGGGTCGCAGGCGACAGACCTTGACCATGGGGATGTCATCACTGCAGCCAGAGTTGGCTATGGTCATGCTGGCAGACTAGCAATTGAGGAGCTCTTCCGTCCCGGGGAGGAATGGGCTTCTCTGCACCATCCGCCTCATAATATCAGGACGTCCGCTGTCGGACTGTTCGCTGGGGGCGAATTGCGATCTCTCAATAGCAGGCACTTTCAGGCCGACACCATCCGACAGGTTGTTGCTGGGCTCTTGGATATTCCGGATGAATCGCTCCTGTGTCATGCCTCACGCGAGTTTGCCGATTTGGACATTCATGGGGTCCCGTGTGATCGACTTATAGGTGCATTCCAGGCCCCTGTGACACTCGGGCGGTTCGGAGGCCGAGCGTTAGCTCGCAGAGATGTCTTCCTGTTCTGTGACCTGAGACCGGTAGGCATGCCGCCTTGTGTGCATCTTGCGCACTCTACACACGTGCATTTGCCAACGCTGGCTGCCTTGCTGGGACTTGACATACCGGAGGGCTTTGTTCTCATTGTCTCGGGGTTCGAGGAGGCAGGTGATGAGGTCCAGGTTGCCCCGGAAGCATATCTGCGCTTTCAGCTCCGACACAGGCCACTGCCGCCCGAGGCGGCCTCCGACCGTGGGTCGCGCTATATTGATGAAATTTCGGATACTAATGAGGGCTCCCCCTCGCCTCTGCGACCATGGGCAGGCACCCGTTTTGCGGCATATCGCTCGCCCTCGCCAGACACGCCTAGCTTCGCCGGACCCAGTCCAGGAGATCCTGCCGATGACGTGACTGGGTTATTAGACGTTAGTTTACACCTCGCTAAATGGTTTAGGCGGATAGGGCATGGTGCGCTGGCCAGCTTCGAGCCCCCCGGGGCTGCGTTCGGTCGAACTGATGATGCGCGGGTAGCACGCGCACGGGGTGCGCAGAGTAAAAAGTGTCCTGCATGGGGATGCGCTGCTCCCGCACGAGCTTCTGCTGCTGATTGGAGTAGCCAAGTTGGGGCGGTCCGGTGTCCAGGCTCTGAGATGTCAGGCTTCTGTGCAACGCGGGTGCCGCCCAATGAGGTACAGTGTCTTCCCGGGATTTGTTCTCTGCTAGGTCGGGCTGGGGATGCTCCCCTTTCGTGCAAGCAGCCCGACTGTGCCGAGGCCCATGCTGCCAGACAGGTTGACCGTCCCTCAGGTGGGCTCAACGCCATGCTCGAGGTTACTAACGGACGCTGGGATCCGCTAATGCCTGTTGAGGTGGACGCATATGCCAGACACCTGTTTGGGTTTTCGGCCACGTGGCACAACCCTTGGGCGAATATCATGGTGTTGGTCTTTTCACCGGACAGAGTGCCTGACGTTCTCAACCTTCCAGTGCACATACCGGCGACCCCTGATGAATTGCTTGAGGCGGTTGAGGAGTGCCGAGACGAGGACCACGCGCGATGGTTCCCCGCCGTGAGGTTTGCCAATCCACAGCCTGCACGTCAGTTTGTAGCCGCTGTAGCATATCCGGAGTGGACGGCGAGGGTCCTTGTCCTGATAGATAGTCGCTTGGTTAACGCTGGGCTTTTCTGTGTGGCCATTGATAGGACAGCCCACCGCGAATCCATTCTTGCTCATGCTGGCTTTAAGGCAACTGATGATATCGACGTTTTCTGCCAGGATCTCGGTTGGGCTCTCGATGCCTGGCAGGTTGCTGACCTTGCTCCCGGGGACCTCATCTCCCTGGTGCCAGGGCGACTCGGGGCACCGATGAGATTCCAACTTCCCCGCATGCTCCACAGTACCGCCTTCTGGGATGCGCAGGCTGACCTTCCGAGGCCCCCCGGGGATCACGTTCTCCTACTGACAGAAGGGGTGCCTCAGATTTTTCAGGTCTTTCCTGCCAGGCGAGCCCAGATAAAAGAGGACATTGCGACGCTTTTGGGGAGCGAGGAGGCTAGGCTTACCTTGCGCATGCCGAGTCCTAGGCCCAAGGACGTTTGTAGATTGGGGTATTTCATACATACGGTTACTGTTGCCACCGAGGGTTTGTGTAGGCTGCCGGTACCCCCTGCACGCATCGTGCCCAAGCCATAGATCCTTGCCTTGGACTGTCGACCGATTCTACAGGCCTTTCGCTGGAAGCTGTGCGCAAGCCAACAAGTGCGATGTGCGGACTTGACTCGTGAGTTACAAGACGCAGTGCCGGGGGGATGGTCCGTGGATTTCGTGGGAGCACCCATCATCCGCGTTGGTGGCGATGACTTCTTGTGCATTGAGCATGGCCTGCTTGTCACTGTGGTGCCTAGGCGGGCACGATCACGAGCCCCTAGTCACGCCAGTTCTTCCGGAAGCAGTGCCAGCACGTCCCAGGATGAAGCTCTTACGGAAGCGGACTCCAGAACTTCGGGCAGCGGGACTAGTCGTGATAGGAGTCGCTCACCCAGGCGGGAGACTTCCTCAGGACGTTCCGCTGAGGGACCTGGCCGCGAAGGGACAGGTGACGTGCAGGCTGTTGGCCTGCGCCACATTGCTGCTGCTAGGTTAGGCGCTTTCCTGCCGTTTGCGGGGGGCGTTGTCGGCAGGCGGCTACTGACCTGGATGTACATGTGTCGTGCCAGGCTTATGCAGGTTGCCCCATCGCTGTGGAGCACCTGGCACCGCACCCCTGTTATTGCAGGTTGGTTTAGAGCTCTTGGGGTCCTTCAGTTCTGCCGGCGGGCTTTGCAGATGTTTAGGCCAGCTGTCGATCGACCTCGTTTGAACCTTGCGCAGCGAATCTCTCGAGGGCTCGCAAGGCCACGCGGATGGCAAGTCTGGGCCAATATGCCCCCTGCGGGGTTCGTTGATCATAATGCTGATGAGGTTTTGCCCTTAGTCTCGGACGACGACGATGAGCCTGGGGCGCGTCCCCTCACGATTTGTGTCCTCACCCCCGAGTTTGAGCCGGAGGTTGTGCCTACTAGGTTGCCGGCTGGGGCTACCCAGGATGATGTGCTATGGGCCCTCAGACGGCGCAGGATGGATTTTCGGGGTCGGGTTTTCCCAATGGTGGTGTTGCCGCACTGTCAGGCTGCCCGAGGCTGGCTCATCACCCTGGCCATTCCGTCATGGGCTATCGTCGATACCTTTGCTTACTTCGACCTGAGGGCAGTCGATGGACGCCTCTTTGCTGATAGCGTGCCCTCCACAATCGACAGGCAGAGGATCCTGCGGTTTGCTGGTCTCGATGAAGCTGGCGATTGGGATGTGTTTGTTGGTGATTCGTTGCACCCTCTAGTTGATCTGCAGGAGATTGCCGTCTCTACGGGGACCCTCTTTGCTATTTCGTCTCGGGATGGCCGCAGGGATCAGGTCTCCACCGTCTATGAGGTTTTAGCGGAGACAGCACACTGGGAGGAACGCCCCGCGATCCCAGTAGGACAGGGTCGTAATGTTTGCGCTGTTTTGGACCAGGGTCACAGACGACTCCGTAGAATAGGAGATCAGGGCGCTCTTGCTGAGATCTTCGAGTCATTGTCCCTTCGAGCTGACTCGGCGCGGATCTGTCATGCTCACCCTTTGACGCGGGATGTGACCATGAAAGGTTTTGCTTGCCAAGAAGTTCTTGCCGTAATCAGTCCAGGCGATGCAGGGGTGGCGAATGCTCCCATGGGCCCGGCCTGTATTTTCGACTGCCGAGGGCTTCTTCAAGGTTGGCTTCTTTGGCCCTTCACAGGCATAGGTCCCTGCTGCGCCGATGTCCGTGATCTCTTAGAAATGTTCATGCCGCCCTCATGGGAGTTATATATTGAAGGCGCCTCTAGGGTGCAGGATGGCTGTTGGCCTGCAGTTGATGGCCAGATCTTCTGGGCCTCTTTCATTCCCGCTGAAATTGCCAGTGAGCCTGGCGCAGGGATGCACGAAGAGGACGATCAGCCTGATGATTCTTCAGACGGCGAGGCTGATGCGTCGCCTGATCCGGCTCCACCAGGCGCAGATACAGCTTACAGGAGACGGCGTCGTAGTCGATCCCCACGACGCCCGGCCGATACTCAGGCTGGTGTCGAGGCCCGCATGAGTCAATCCCCAGAGGACACTTCGATACAGGTCCCAGCCGCCCGTGGCGACGTTGTTGTGGCCCCGGGAGTTAACCGATGGGGGCGCTGCCTCTTCTGGGGGGTTCTATGTTGCCATCCTCGACCCCTCACCGCCACCGGTTCCCCAACACATGCTGCTGGAGCTGGTGTGCCTGCCGGTTGTACCGGGCCAAGAGGCTGTACCGGGTCCGCTGACAGCGTCGTGCCACTGCTGGCGGGAGTGCCTACGCCCTGCCGACGCCGTCGAGCACGACGGGAGGTGTCACCACTTGCCTCCTTGCGCGGTCGCCGCCCAGGCCCTACATTACTGGAGCAGAGTATTGCGGCTGTCGGTTCGAGTGCCATGCTCGATGCATGCAGCTTGATCGAGGTGCTTCTTGAGCATTTTGCAGCAGGGCCGCCGCCTGAGGACACGGGATTGCTCGGATCAGGCCCCGTTGCTGACGGCCCCGTAGGACCAGAGGCTAGGGTCCCCTGCACTATCAGGCTATGCGACCTTCTCCCCTCCCAATCACCAGGGGGAGCGGGCTGTGCCACAGATTTCTTTGACCTTACTGCCGGGCAGTGCTCGCTGCCCGTCTCTGAGCAACAGGTTGCGCGACTCCTGGACAAGCTTGAAATGAGACACTTCCGTCCACCTCCACGCCATGCTCCGGCCCCGCACCGTTTTTCAGCGTGGCTTGCCGATGGGTGCGTTGGTCGCTCCCTCGCGCCTGGGGAGTCGATTGTCTTCACGGCTGATGGGTCTTACTGCCCTGCCACAGGCAAAGCTGGATGGGGTGTGGTAGTTAGTTTCCAGGGTACCTCAGGGTCGAGTCCGGGACAATTTGTGGGCTGTATCTTCGGCCACATAGCGGCTTCTGACCACACCGTTCCTCTGTCGGCCTATGTGGCGGAGGTGTGTGCACTCTGGTGGGCCAGTGTTGCTGCCCTGCAAATGCCCACCCCCGGGCCGATTATTTTCAGGGCTGATAACATTGCTGCCTTGAACGGGGTCCAGGGCTGTGACGCGATGCCTGGGGCTCCGGTATGCGCCGCGGCCAGGGCCTTCCACTTTTCGGTTGGGGCTGGCACCTCGCGGCAAGTTTCCTATGTGCATGTTCATGGACATCAAGGCGACCCTGCTAACGAAATGGCGGATGCTATCGCCAACCTTGGCGCGGGGGGCGAGACGTTATCCAGCCCTTGCAGACTTGAGATGGGGTTTTGGTTGCGCGAGGATGCGGCTGCCGCCCGTTGGCTACCACATGTAATGCTCAGCCAGGCCGTTCCCTCGCAGTTGTCGCCTCTTCGACAGGATGTGTTCACTTGGAACATGCGCCAGCCCGAGGCGCGCCTGTCTGCCGCACAGATTATGCGTCCGTTCACTCGGCCATTGCAAGGTCGGGCGAGGGCCAACCCTCAGTCGGCCCGCGCCTTTGTCTGTCGGTTTGTTACCTACAACGCGCTCTCACTCCTCGATCCAGGGGAGACAGCTGCGGGGAGGACACAGGGGCTACATGGCGCAGTCGGCCGGGTGGCTTTGTTAAGTGATGCTCTAGCTCAGCTGGACGTTACTGTGGCTGGACTACAGGAAACCAGAACCGACGCCGGATGCCTTCGGGGTCGACGATATACCCGTTACTGCTCGGGGTGTCATGATAGAAGTAGTTTTGGCATAGAGCTGTGGGTCGCCACGGGGCCGGACAGCCCTGATCATACATTCGTTATCCGACATGCTGACCCCTGGCGACTCATTGGTCGCCTCACGTTGGATAAGCTTGAGCTGCAGGTCTTTGTTGGTCATGCTCCTCACCGTGGCCATAGTGAGGCCACGCGACTCCAGTGGTGGGCAGAATCAGCTAGGCTATGCCGAGCTGCTTCCAGTTGCAGTGGGTGGCTTTTTCTGGTTGATGGAAATTGTAGGGTTGGGTCGGAGGTCTCGACCTCTATCGGGGACCACCAATGCGATCAGCAAGACTCGGCCGGCTCAGATTTCCATGGTCTGCTGAAGGATTGCCAGTCGTGGGTCCCTGCGACCTTTGCCCAGCACATGGAAGGACGCGGTGGCACCTTGCTGCAGAAGCTCAATAATGAGTTACAGCGGGGTGATTATGTCGCAATACCCGCGGGCTGGCATCAGTGGTCTGTGAGGTCTTGGGTAGACCCCGCGGTGACCTCTGGGCATGCGGCTCCGGATCATTTCGCCAGTGTCGTTGAGTGTCATTTTGCTTGGGCTGGCGGCAGCAAGAAGCTCCCACCTGCACGTATTGACCCTGCAGCACTCCTCGATACGGCCAACCACGGCAGAGTTGAAGGGATCTTGCAGGCTGCGCCCCCCGTGAGCTGGGACACGAATGTCAGTGATCACGCCTCGATCCTGGCGGAATACTTGTACACTTCCTTGGCTGAGGCATTCCCGCTGAAGGCCCGCCGCATGCGCCTTTCTTTCTTGTCGGCGGAGACGAGCACACTGCATGCGCATGCTGCGGCCCTCCGGCACGCCCTGCGGGGACGACTGGAGGCTCTTCGCTTAGCGCGACTCCGATGTGCTTTCCTTGCGTGGCGGAGCCCAGCGGGCTGCTACGCCAGTCTCTTCCAGGGACGATGGCTCAGGCAGCTGTGTCATGTGATTGCCGCCCTATCCGATCGGATCTCAGTTGTTGGCAAGAGGCTTCGGCGATTCTGCCGTGCGGATAAACGCAGGCATGTTGATAGTCTGGCGGATCAACTAGGGCAGGCGAGGCAAGGGGAGGTGCACATTGTCCTTAAACGCCTGCTACGTCCTAAGAAGTTCAGAAGGCGAGGCCCGGCGCCCCTCCCCAAGCTAAAGACAGCGGATGGTCGCATGTGTACCACGCAGGAACAGGTCGTGGAGACCTGGAGGAAGCACTTTTCCGACCTGGAGGGCGGGGTACGGGTCTCGGTGCAGGAGCTTGTGGACTTTGGGATCGCCTCGCAGAGGCAGACCGGCGCGATGGAGGTGCTTCAGGCCGCGGAGGTCCCGGATTTGGTTAAGCTAGCGGCCACGTTTAGGGATGTCAACCCGCAGAAGGCCTGCGGGCCGGACATGATACCCCCCTCGCTATGCAGGGGATTTGCTAGCCAGATGTCGGTCCTTTTTTATCCCGTGCTGCTTAAGACTTTGGCCTACATCTCAGAGCCCATCGGGATGAAGGGGGGGTCCTTATTTAGGATCCCCAAACCGGGGGCTGCGGACACAGCCTCATGCAGCTCCCAGAGAGCCATTCTCGTGCAGTCGGTTCTGGAGAAGGTCCTGCATAAGTCGGTGCGGGGGCTTACTGTTCGGGAACTCGAGCTCAAGGCTCCCGCCCTGCTGATTGGAGGGCGCAAAGGCCTAAGTTACACCATGGGATTCTTCTGCGCTCGCTCCTTTCTGGAGTTCACCCGCCGCAAACAGATACCCGCCGCCATACTCTTCAGTGACATTAGTGCGGCATATTACTCTGTCGTCCGCGAGCTGCTGACTGGCGGCAAGTTGCAGGACGCCTCGTTGGAGGAACTCGCTGCTTCTTTGTCGCTGTCAAATGAGGATCTTCAATTTATGCAGTCCGTCCTCGCGGAGGAGCCGGTATTGAACGGGGCGGGGTCGCATGATCTGTTGGCTGCTCTGACGCGGGAGCTTCATAGTGGGACATGGTTCCTGATGCAGCAAGATGACCAGATTGTGCGGACACGCAGGGGGACGAGGCCCGGCAGTAGCCTGGCCGATGTCCTCTATGCTCTTCTGTTCATTCAGGTTCTTAGACGCCGCGGAAATTTCTCCGAGCTCGGCCTTCGCCCCATGGTACCTTGGAGCGGCATCCGGGATTTGGCTCCCTTTGATGGCCGGGTCGCTGGCGCAACCAGCGTGGAGGTACAAGATCTCATTTACGCCGATGATTTGGCCACTTGCATCGTCGCCGCAACTGCGGGGGCGTTGCCTCAGGCGATTCAGGACGTCGCCAGCCAGTCCTTTGACACGCTGGCTGGGCATGGCCTACGTTCCAACATAGGGCCGAAGAAGACTGCTGCTTTGATGTCTGTCGTTGGCGCCGGCTCCCGTGAGGTCCGCCGTGCGGTTTTCACAGAAGGCCGTGGCCGGGTTCCGGTGCTTCGTGAAAGGGGGCCAGGCGTCTGGCTGGACATAGTATCGCAGTATCGCCACCTCGGCTCGGTTATAGTGCACGATGGGTCTTTGGTTGCGGAGATAAAGGCCAAGCTGCAGGCGGCTCGCACCTGCTTTCATGAAGGCAAGGCCCAGGTCTTCTGTGCCCCATGCGTTGCACTGGCCAGAAGAGTTAAGCTCTTTCGCGCGCACGTCCTGTCCACGCTCTTCGCGGGAGCGGGTGCTTGGCCGTTGCTGTGCAAGACCAGCTGGCGGCTGCTTGAGACCGGCCTCTACAACATGATTCGGCAGCTGTTGCGGTTGAAGCCGGACCAGGATCAGCGATGGACCCACCATCAGATGTTGGCTGCCGTGGGCTTGCCGACTTTGGAGGGATTTTTAGCCCTCGAGCGGTTGCGCTTCCTCGCGCAACTTGTGCGGGGAGGGCCAGATGCGGCTTTCGCCCTCCTACAGCAGTCACCCCGGGCACTAGGGGCTTTCAAGGAGGCGGAGCAGTGGATCCTGCAGGCAGTCGGAGCTACTGGAGCCCCTGGCACGTTTGGCGAACAGTGGCCCGCCTGGGAGGCTTTATTTGCTCAGGTAGGACGCTGGAAAGGCCTCCTAAAGCGCGCAGAGAGCTGGCATGTTGGCCGTATTACGGCCCAGGCACGATATCAGCGCTTTGTCCGCGACCATTGGGAGCGGCTGCCTTCACCGGTTGTGGAAGTGCCGGCAACTACGCACGCTTGCCTGGAGTGCCGGGTGGCGTTCGCTGGTTGCCACGCCTGGTCGGCTCATGCGGCGCGCGTACATGGATACCGCTCGAAATCAAGGCGTTTCGCTGTTGGGCGACGCTGTCAAGCATGCGGGGCGATTTTTCCGACGCATCGCCAGTACCAAAGGCACCTGCAGATTTATCCGCGTTGCTGCCAGGCTATTGAGCAGGGGTTTAGGGGGCTCTTTCCGGTCTTTGAGGAAAAGGATGGGCATGTTCAGGGTACCGTCGTTGCCGGCGTCGGCTCGGAGCACTTGCCTGCACTTCAGCCTGACTTTTGTTTTGAGCTGTTGCAGCAGTTGCGCGAAGGAGCTTTCGACTCGGCAGAGAGCATTTTCCAGACTGTCATTTCATGCCACGAGCCCCTCCCCTCCTTAAGACAAACCTTAAGTGTGTGGCGTGCTGAACTTGCCGAGGGCTGCCTCCTCGGCTTCGTCGACGATGCTCTGCTGGCTTTGCAGCCAGATCTGTGGTGCGAGCACGCCTCTAATGCCCCTAGGCCCGCCCCTGCTGATAAGGACCCTAATGTTGCCTTTGAACCCCTCCTGTGGCCTTTTCCCAAGAGCGCCGGGCAAGCCCTCGAGGTGCCTTGCCCTTGTGGTGGTTTTCGGGTTCGGGTTTCTTCGGGGTTCGGGCCTGAGGCCGTTCAGGGCGGTGAGTGGACCTCACCCTTGCCTCCTCTTGACGGGTTAGTTGGACTAAAGATAGTTCTTCCTGGCCCTCCGGTCCCCTGCGGACCCTTCTGGCAGCCTTTTTCCTGCTCACTTCGCAGCCTTCGGGCCTTCGACACCTGGCTTCAGCTTGCTCTCGCTTGGATTTCCCTAGCCTTGAGGGCGGCAAGGTCGGGAGCTGACGTCTCACTTCGCTTCGGCTTTTCGGCCCAGCTGTGCGGCGAGCTCGCCGAGTGGCTTGACAAACAGGTCCACTTGTCGCCTGAGCCCTGCTCATTGCTGGTGCGTTTCCACCCCTGAATTCATTTTCTGCTTGAGGTACGCTCTAGGAGGGCATTGCACCTGGTGAAAGAAAGAAGTTCTCTGAATTGGGGTTCCTCTTAGGATCCTTTTTATAAGGGTGCCGTCCTATACTCGGGACCTCAAAAGGGGACCCTAATTTAGAGAACTGCCCTAATCATAAGAACCCCTCCAGCAAGCCCTTCACCCTCGGAGATCTGATCCCCTGGAGTCCCTCGCGCCAGACTCAAGGCCTGAACCTCTGCCTACTGTTGATGATCTAAAGCCTTAGCATTACCCATAATAAGGGGTTTAGGGCTTAGGGTTTGGGGGTTTAGGGTTTAGGGGTTAGGGTTTAGGGGTTGATATTGGGTTTTGGTCTTGGTTTGCTCGAACACGTGTCAAGGAAAGAGACGATTCTCCAATCCCGACATTGAGGTAATGTATGGACGTTAACAACGAGAATCGTATTGCAGGGGTAGATCATACTGTTGATGATATGAACCCTTAGCATTAAACCTTAAGGACCCTAAACTAAGGGAATTATGGTATATGTTCCTTATTATGGGTAATGCTAAGGATTTATATCATCAACGGTACTTGTCCAGTATCGGGGTTCAGGTTTTTTGCCAGGCTTCTATGGGGTTTAGGGTTTAGGAAGTTGAGGCTTGGGGATTCAGGGCTCTGGGGGTTAAGGAGATTAGGGGTTTGGGGTTCTGTGATGATAATCCTAGGGGGCCCAGATTTTTCAAAACCCTGTAACTCAGGAAGATGCCTCAGTTCGTAAACAGGATCCTACGACAGTAATTAAGGGGGTGTTGGAAGATCTAGGAAACTAAACGCCATCCTTCACGGGATAATGTTCCCCCAAACAGGTTGAAGGTTACCTACTCTACTGCTAAGTCTAACTCTGACCTCACATCGAAATACCAAGTGAAGAAGGTAGAAAGCCCTAAACCCTCATGACTCTGTCAACCACCAGAGCTTCGAGACAACTCGATTTCCTAAGCGACACTTTCTGAACAATTCATGCCTCCTGAAAACTGAATACCCCTCTTTTAAAAGCCACCTTTCCCTAGTAACACTGTTGCTCATTTAGTGCGTCGTTGTAGCTCCTAAACCCTAAACCCTAAACCCTAAAACCCTACACCCTAAACCCTAAAACCCCTATACCCTAAACCCTAAACCCCAAACCCTATAAACCCTAAACCCTAAATCCTATAAATCCCATAAATCCTATAAACCCTAAATCCTAAATCCCTAGACCCCAAGCCGTCGTCGGGCCTTGGCGGAGAGCAGCCGCCGAGCTTCCACACCAGCTCGGGGCAAGTTGCAACCCACCTTAGAGGACCCTAAAACCCTAAACCCTAAGGCTCCTACAACGGATGTCCTAGACCCAAACCCTAAACCCTGAAAAACCTCCAAAACCCTAAACCCTTTAAAATCCTAAACTCTAAACCCTGAACCCTTCCAAAACCTAAACCCTAAACCCTAAGCCCTCAAAAACCTAAACCCTAAACCCTAAACCCTCAAAATACCTAAACCCCAAACCCTAAACCCTCAAGAACCTAAACCCTAAACCCTTTAAAACCCTGAACCCTAAAGCCTAAACCCTCAAAAGCCCCAACCTAAACTCAAGCCCTGGAAGCTCAAGCCCAAGAGTGCAGACCGAACGGCGGTACAGCCTTCTTCCTGCCGAGGCCTTGCGGGGTTGGTTTGGTTTAGCGTTTATACGGCCTTTAGGTTTTAAAGTTTAGGGCTTTAGGGCTTTAGGGTTTCGGGTTTCGGGCTTAGGGTTTATAGGGCTTTTAGGGCTTTTAGGGTTTTGGCCTTTAGGCCTTTAGGGCTTTAGGGTTTCGGGTTTCGGGCTTAGGCTTAATAGGGTTTATAGGGCTTTTGGGGTTTTGGCCTTTAGGGCTTTTAGGGCTTAGGCCTTTAGGGCTTTTAGGGTTTAGGGTTTAGGGTTTATAGGGTGTACTGTTTAGGGTTGCGGATTTCGGATTTAGGGTTCAGGGCTTTAGGGCTGTGGGGCTTCAGGGCTTTAGGGCTTAGGGTTTACAGGGTTTCGCTTTAGGGTATAGGCCTTAGATCAATATAGGGGCCTTAATGATAGGGTCCCGGGAAACCCGGAGGTGGAGTTTAAGGTTTAGCTTTTCTGGCTACCGGATTTACCCTAAACCCTAAACCCTGAAACACTAAACCCTAAAACCCTAAAACCCCTAGTTTAGGACCTTCTGGCTTCGGATGTAGGGTCGAGCTTAGTTCCAGGGCTCTCCTTTTCGAAGGGCTTGAGGGCATGTCTGGGAGCTGCAGGGCTCAAGATGCTTGGCCCTAAAACCGCTAGACCACTAAAGCCCTCAAACCCCTAAGCCCCTAAAACCTAAAAACCCTAAAACCCCTAAAACCCAAAAACCCTAAAACCCCTAAATCCCCTAAAACCCCTAAAACCTTAGACCCCTAAAACCCCTAAAACCAAACCCCTAAAACCTTAGACCCCTAAAACCCCTAAAACCAAACCCCTAAAACCTTAGACCCCTAAAACCCCTAAACCCCCAAACCCCCAAACCCCTAAACCTCTACAGGTTTAGGGGACTTCCAAGTTCGAGCGATCAGGAGAACCTCGCCGCCTTGGACTTGGGAGATTTTAGGTCTGGGTGCGCTTAGGGGGAGCTTGGGTCTATAGGGTTTGGGGTTTAGGGGGAGTTTGGGTCCGGAAGGTTTATGGGGTGTGTTTAAGGGGGAGCTTGGGTCTACAGGGTTTGGGGTGTGTTTAAGGGGAGTTTGGGACTATAGGGGTAGGGTTTGGGGTTTAGGGTGCGCTTGGGGGGAGCTAGGGTTTATGGGGTGTGCTTAGGGGGAGTTAGTTTGGGACTATAGGGCTTATAGGGTGTATAGGGTTTGGGGTTTAGGGTGCGCTTGGGGGGGAGCTTGGGTCCAAAGGGTTTATGGGGCTTAGGGTGCGCTTAGGTGGAGCTTGGGTCTATAGGGTTTAGGGTGTGCTTAGGGGGAGCTTGGGTGTATAGGGTTTAGGCTGTGCCTGGTTTAGGGTTTAGGGTGTGCTTAGGGAGAGAGCTTGGGTTCTTAGGGTTTAGGTCTGGGTGTGCTTAGGGCGAGCTTGGGTTTCTAGGGTTTAGGGTTTAGGGTTTAGGTTGAGGCCCCCCGGAGGCCTAAAGCCCTTGAGCCCTAAAACCCCAGAACCCTCGAAATCGTGTAATGTAGGGGCCTTAATACTTAGAATAGGGTTTTAGGGTATATCATACTGTAATTATAATCAGATTATAATCAGGAACACTCAAAAAAGTTTAGGTAATTATTAAGGCCCCTATACTAAGGTTCTCATCGCGCAACTCCCTAGCTCTCTGAGAAATACATCCTTAGCATTAACTTAAGGACCCTACCCTATGGGAGCAGGATTTATATCATCAACCGTAGCTCCCTGAGATTACCTACGGAGCTCCGGTAACTTCAAGACCCCCAAAATCCTCAGATCCTTCCACCTTCATACTTAGAAAAAGGCCCTGTAAGTAGATCAGTCTGATGCGAACCCTAAACCCCTAAACCCTAAACCCTAAGAGTTCTATCGGGGCCGTAATAGGTGTCGGGGCTCAGAACAGCGCTCCTTAAACTAAACCTTTCCCCAGAGACGCCAATATCCCTTAATTAAGGAATATACCTTAAATCATAATAATAGGAACCCGAATAAGATTTAAGGTATCTTCCTTTATTCAGGGATATTGGAGTCTCTGGGTCCCTAGACGTCCACCTATCCTCTTGAGCAGATTGCTGAACTATCGGTACGAGTACCATAAGGTTTCTACGGGGCTTAAGGAGCAGTAGGTACGCAGTGGCTGCCTACCGTGGGCACACGTCATGCACTTCATCCATCCAGCGGCTTCGATCACCTCTTGCTTTGCCCCTTCAAGTTTCAAGAGCCGCTGGAGATCGGCGACGCTTGGGTGCCCCAGGTTGCAGTGGGCTTTGACTAGCCCACGTCTCACAGCTTCACTCACTCGGCGACCTGGGGAAACCTCAAACGACACACCCTCACTGGACAGAGGAACTCGGCCTCTCAGGTTAACGAGCAGAAGCGCGTGTAGGAGGCCATTTGGCTGAACCCTCAAACTAAAGCACATGATCCGAAAAACCTAAACCCCTAAACCCTAAACCCCTAAACCCCGAAAAGACAAGCACACAAATCCTAAGGCCCTGCAGACGCGGCCGCATGGATCGCCGGTGAATTCGTGGGACGCGAACGTAAGAACCGCACATGGGTACCACACTGTTTCCCCTAAGGGTCCAAAGGACCTAAGAATCATGTACTTGGGTTACGGATAGTAATTTTTGTAGGTTAGTTTCCAGAAGAGTATATGATGATCAGGAGCTTGGACTTTTAGGGTTCGGAATGACCCAAATCCGCCCCGTCCCACAAAAAAACCTAATGTAGGGGCCTTGTTGAGATTAGAACAAGGTCTATGACACTACAACTATCGTAAGGAACCCCAAAATGGTATAGGCAACTATTTAGGCTTTTATATGAAAGTGTACACTT